AATTCCAGTGGGCATTTCATGTTGTAACTTGGTTCCTGTCTTCCTTACTTCTTATTGAAATGGCTCTGTTGAGTGATTTGCTGCAGATGCTTCACAGGATTCCCAGCACTGAGATCACAGTGTATTTATGAGTCAAGTTTAGTTTTCTTAGGGAAACCAGATCATTCTGGGTTTCTGTTTAAACAGTCACTGGGAATCTGGGCAGATCCCTATTTCAGCTTATGTAAAGTCCTAGCATTAACTAAGTTAAATTCATCAGCTAAAGAAAAACAAAACATTGAAGAAGTTAAGTATAAATTTTAAGTGTCTCCCTGATCCTCTTTGAATTTTTTACTTCATATGGAAATTGCCAAGCACTTTAAAGAAGAAACTCTAATGTTGTATTGTGTGTATTTTTCACTACAACCCCTGCGTTGAGTCCAGACTGTCAATTTATTTATTACCAAATATTATCTTCTAGCTCTTCTGATGAACGTTTTGTATCTTTGCATATTTTTGGGTATAAGTATTAAATAAAAATGCCAGATACTTTGATAAAAATATGCAGAGTAGACCTAAGAGGAAAGTTTCATACCGCAGGAGAGAGCGGTAAAGAGTAGAGATTGAGAAATTATGCCTAGACTGCAGAGCCAGAGCCGGTAAAGTGCTCAACGGGCTCGTAACTCCTGCAGGCTGCTCCACAGCCCATGCTTCCTGTTACTGATAGATAGCTTTTCACATATTGATATTAATCAATAATCATGCAAAGGTTCTTACTTTCTTCCAACCACTCCCAAGTTGCCTATCGTCTTTGCACGCGATCGAACCGTTCACCTTACGACTCTGATACGTAGAGACCTCAAATTGTGAAAATTATATGATTGCCTTTGTATACTGTAATAATTCATTATTTACGTCCTTATGATACCCTTAACTTCTTTCAGTTCTTTTGATCCTGTACATTGAGGCAGAAATTTGCATGGCTTTGAATTGTGGAGAAAATACTGTTAAAATTTTATCTGCCAATGATTTGATGTGTGCTGATCCTGGCTTATTACACTAATTGCTTCCTAATTTCAGAGTTTCCAGATTCTTGAATAATCATTCAACCGTCAATATTGTAGACAAATCTTCAATCTCCAGTATAGTTACAGGGACACTGAGATATGTTTATGATATATCCTAAACCATTTATTTTATTTAGTTCATTTAATTCTCCCTGGAATAAGGTGTGTATGAGCAAAATGTAGAGATGTAGCTTTTGATAGTAAATTTTAATAGCTATAAAATCCATAGTTGTAATGTAATCTTTTCCTGTTTATAATTTTTCTATTTATATGAATTTCATATCTTTCTAAGAATGTTTATTCTCTTTAATCCTTGGTGACTTAAATATGTGCCCAGAAAGATACATTGTTCATATTATACTCACAGCTGTGGAACTAAATTCTAAATGCTTTTTGCTTTTAGTCTTTCTGGAGAGGTGAACACAAAGGAAATTAATAATATAGATTCAGGATTTATGTTAATTAACATAAAATACATTTTAAAGAAATATGAAGCAGTCAGCATTTCTATCATAAACATAGCCTGATTGAGCATTTTTCGCACAGTGGGATGTAAACGTGAAACTCGTTTCTAATCACTGTTCGTCTGGCTATGCTGTATTAAATGCCCATTAACCACTTGGTAGCAGATAGCCTAGTGCTATTCTAGAAATTGCAGCATTGCCAGTCTGTTACAGTTATTCAATGTCTGACTAATTAAAAATGTGGCTAGCTTATCCTGCAATCCTTCCCTTGTCTGGACACTGAGGCACGCCAGGTAAAGCCACATCTTGGGACTCCCACATCCCGACCAGAGCGCCAGTGTAAATCTTGTCTCCTCCAGCTGGCCCTCTGGTGGGGATGTGGCACTTGAGAAGGCTGCAGTGATGACTAAGTATTTGGATGCCTGACACCCACAACGGAGACACTGGCGGGTTCCTAGCTCCTGGCTTCGGCCTGGCCCAGCTCCTGCTGTTGCCAGCATTTAGGGAGTGAACCAAATTACGAAACATCTCTTCTCCCCTGGTCTTTATCACTCTTTTTAATAATATATGATAAATAAGTGTTTAAAATGTAAATAAAATACAGTCCTTCATTCATTGCAGATAGTTGGGGCAATTAGGATTCACAAAATAAATTTTTTCATTCTTTCAGCTGTTCTTCATATTTTGTGAATGTTGCAATCCTAAAATGGCATTTTCTCTACTGTTGGATTTGTTTCTAAGATATATTGATATACCAGAGAGTCAGAATTAGAAAGAGAGAGAGAGATTCCAGGTGCTGGTTCTCTTCCCCCATTAGTTGCAAAGGGAAAGGCGGTGCTGGTTGGAAGGCAGGAGCCAGGAGCTTCTTCTGGGTCTCAATGAGACTGCAGAAGTCCAAGCACCTTCCCATCCTTCTTGCTTCCTTAGGCCATTAACAGGGAAATGGATCAGAAATAGAGCAGCTGGGACTCAGCTGGGATACCAGTGCCAGTGGCGGTAGCTACTCCTGCTATGTCCAGCACCAGCTCCGACACTCAAAGTTTTATAGACTGAATGCCAGGGTTAACGATGTGACAGAGCAGTCCCTCTTAAAAGATTACTTCTGAGAGTTGGATCCTTTAGTTGCAGTTTAGCTCCTAGTAGAATATGAGTAACTAGATCTTCTTTCCTTGAGAGTTTTCTTGTTGATATAGAAACAGTAGGGAAACCTCATGCCACATTCAGATGCATTCTGATCTATCGCCTTTATTGCTTCCGTGAAAAATGAGAGTATGTTTAACTTTGAGAAACTGATTAACATTACCTGTCATTCCTACATTAACACAGATCAAAATTAATGGTGGAAAGCCCTTTATGTTAGCTTTATACTCAGAAAAGTAAACTCAATTGCATCTTGAAACTAGAAATATTGAGAGTATCTTTATGTATCATGGTGGTACAGTTCACTCACAAACACGTCCTTCAACATGTCAAAGAAAATTCTGTCACTTGCGTTAAAACAGACTCAACTGAAGGACATCATGTTGAGTGAAAGAAAATAAATGGTAAAAGTAAAGAAATGTCTGTATATAGCAATATTGTTACAGGTGTATTTTGTGAAGCTTTGCTTGATACCCAATGGTTTCAACCCAATTGTTAAGGATGTTATACATAGTTTATGATCTGTGGTTACTTTACGATTTACTGTATATGAGTAAAATAAGGATTTTTCCATTTAATTTTTATAGCTTTTGTCTGTATTTCTACTTAAACTAAGACATTTTTGCTTTTGACTTGCTAAACTTCATATTGGATTAAACTTTTACCTAACAAGTAATCCTTTTTGTTGTAATGTAAATTTAAAATATTATTTCAAAAGTAAAAAAAAAAGGAAGGAAGATGGGAGGTTTTACAATTTTTAAATACAATTGTTATTAGAAAAGTTTCTTTATCTTTCAAACACTCATGGAATTCACTTTCCCTGACTGTCCTAGTCAGGGACTGTCCAGTGGAATTTCCTGTGAGATGGCAATATTCCAAACTGCATTGTCCAATATGGTTGCTGCTCTCCTGTGAAGGTTTCAAACGTGTAATATGACCATTGTGACTGAGGAATATAATTTTGTTTACTTACTTTGTGTTAAAGAATCTAAAGTTAAATAGCCATATGTGCCTGGCAATCATATTGGACACTAAAGTCTAGTCACTCCTGTTCCATTTACTAACAACATGTATTTGGTATGTCATTCTTTGGATGAGAACTTAAGTTATATTTTCTATGAGACTATCACTTTAAATAGTCTCATAATAACACAATGCATAGTATTTGTTAGACACATACTTAATGTACTGCCCTGGATACCTCATACATAATAAATCATTCCATTATCACATGCAACTTACATTGTACTACAAAGAAGGCTTCCATTTGTAGTTGTTGCCATTTTGTGGATGCATTAAAGACTGCAACAGTACTTTAATTAACTTTGTGTAAGATCAAATAGCTGGTGAGCGGCTGAGCTAGAATGTCAACCTCAGGCTGACTGGAGTCAAATCCCACTCTCTCACTCTATTCATTGTTTCATCTTTCTGGAAAATCAGCTGTTACCAGTGATTCTCTTTACTCAAAAGCATCACAGATGGGATCTTTCTAAGAGCTTTATTTATTTATACATAATAGAGGAAATTATTTTGCCCATGGCAAGAGGGAAGAGACCAACCAGTTTCTCATTCTTTTTAGTAATGTCACAATTCTCTAAGCAGACGTTAGGTTTGTTAAAATAACAACAACAATAATAAAAACAGATGATCAGAAATCTATCAAGTGGGCTGTGGCAGCCCTGGAGTTTCATTTGATCAGAATGAGATCAAATCGGTTAATAAATATAAATGATGATATGCAGGTGTTGGATGTTTGCTCCTACTGCAGGGTTATTCATACTGTGTTTTTTTCTCAATATACTAAGAGAAAGAATTCGAAAGTAGCCAAGATCAATTATTTTCCAAGAGCCATAAGGTTCAGATTTAACTGAGGTCAGTCATCCACCACGTTAGAATTACTCAGAAGCATACTGTCCATAATTAAGTAATCTTATCTACTAATATTGCAGAGTAAGAACACCTCAGGTGACATGAAATCTGTCATTTTAAGCATGCCCCCAAGCCTTTTCCAGATTGCCCATAAAACTTCTCATTCTCCAGAGAAATGTGATCTCTAAGAAATAGATGCCTCTGTCAAGTCACAGGGAATATGAGCACAGAATGGAAAAAAATTGAGTTTTTGAGTTTCATAAGGATATTGCAATATTATAAAATTGACTTTATTCCTTGTTATTTAAGTTCTCATGGTCATTTTTACCTTCTGGAGAATAAAAGGAAGGATATACAATCTTTTAGGGAGGTGGGAGACAGAGGCCTTTGGGAACCAGAATATATTTTTTTTTCATATGAAAATCTTTGTCATGAAATGCTAATGTTGGTGTTCTTGTCTTTATGTCTATGCATTCTTTAGCTATGAGGATAACAGACCCTTCATCAAGTAAGAATGACCTGAATGGCTGATAAATTGCATTTATCAGTGTGGTCCCATGAACCAGCTGTCAGAACAGTACTGAAAAATCATTAGAGCTTCTGTCATTCACATGGAGGCAGAAGAGCAAACTGTGCAGGAAAAGACTCTGGCATACAGCTTCTGTGCAGAATAAATATGCTGCAGGTGTATTGCCAAAAAAAAAAAGAAAACTCTCTTCCCGTCTGTTAATTGGACTCACTTGAATCCAGGTCCACAGTAACAGTCGCTTCTCATGTACAGACTTGTTCTGCTTTTACAGCCCCCCTTGTACCGTGCCACGTTCCTCTTTGCTGCCTATGTGTGCAGTTCCAGTGTTTGGGGATCTTTCTGCTAAAATTATTTTGTGATTTAGAGGTGTATCTTTGAAATGATCTTATGGGAATAAAACCACTCAATTTCAATTGATATCAATAAATTTCTACTCTAATTATTCAAAAAGGAAAACAATGGGTTCTTTGAGAAAAATAATTTTTATACCTACAAAATGGTCCCCTACAAATTTGACACCTGCCACCCAGTTAAGCATCTAAATGTTTAAAGAATGTATCTAAGTTTCTCCAACAAAGCTACAAGTCTGTACTAATCCTTGTATAAATGTTGATATTGGGCATTTTTCTCTGTACTTTCAAATTCCTTGTCCTGCAAGAGTATGCCAACTTGTGGGCAACCTTGCTGCAGGCTTTCAGTTTGTTCTTCTGGTGAAGAGTCCTTTGTTTTCATTTGCTCCAATGCCATTCCACACACCTCTTCATACTCTTGCTTCCTTTGTTCTTTAGAAGTTGGGGTTCATTGCAGCTGTCTATCATTTAACCCTTGGGCCCATCCTATGTTTCTTAGTGGATAGTAGCCTTGTTTATGATTCTAGTCTATCATTTCTAAGTCTAAATAGCAATTATGTCTTTATGTAATACCATTTTTTCCTTCTTTCACTACCTGTGACAGTTCAAAATGTGTTTCTCAAAGTTTCTATATTTTTGAATCCAGTGGCAGAATAACGTGTCAATATCCAAGACATTCTCTAATTCATATGTGCAAGCATGCCACATCCTTTAGGTATTCCTTATCCAAAACTTTTATTAAATTAAAACCTAGAAGGCACTTAAATCTGATTCATGATAGCTGGCTGTTCTGGGAAGAAATAGTAAATAGTTACAACACGTTTGATATGACTTGGAACCATTATCAATCTTAGGATATAGTGCTTGTCAAAAATGCAAGGAACTCAGCTGCAAATGATGGTAAACATAGGCAATTTTTTCCATTCATTTTGCAAACCTTCCATCTCCATTAATATTTCTTCGTTAGAAGATGCCAATGGAGGATGCTAACCTGTGGAAAAGAATTACTCATTTACCTTGTTCAAGGCAGGCATTTGAATGAGGAAAGGTTTCGGTCGAGAAGTGTGGAGATGTGAGCTGGTGGTCTTGTTTGGCCTTACCCATTGAGCTGAGTAAAGGAGATTCCATTTCCAGTTGTTGGAGTTCAATCTCTTGGAAAAATTCATTCTGTCATGATAGCAAATACATGATACAACTACAAATAAAAGAATTGTTGTCATCCACCAGTTATTGTGGATGGTAACTTGGAGGAAACTAAAAGAATGGAGTGAGAGTGAGATTTGTCTCCACACTATACTGCTCAAGACATATCACTCCATCCCATTCTCACTTCATCCCCTCCACGAGTGTGCAAACCTTTCACAGTCATACAGGCTCCTGGACCTGTAAGATGCTTTTCAGCAGAGCTGCCATGTGCCTGATATGCAAAGTTTAGCTCTCCTATCATGACCTAGAACACAAATAACCTGAGAGTTGATAAGCAAGATTGAGGCAGTTGCACGCTACTGAAACTAATGTTGTTTTTCCCACACATTAATCTGACGGTTAGTCTACATATCATGGAGTCAGATAAACAAGACTTTAAATTTCTAAGTGTGTTCCCAATGCTGGCTCCTTCTAGTAAGTGTATGCTTTTGTCAGTGCATGTGACAATTTTTGTAGGAAAACAAAAAACGTGAGAAAATGGTATAAAGTGGTTTTTAGCTAGAGCACTGATGCAGAGAAGCCCGTCAAACAAATGCTGTCACTGCAGGGAGACCAGTGAAGACTAACAAGACTTTACACATGTGTTTCCCCTTGCCATCCGCCATAATTACATCTCCATCCCATTTGCATATGTGCTGCAAATACATGAATAATTTATAGTCCAAAGCTGCTTTTGCTGAAAAGAATTTCTGTGTTCATAACATTTTCATCCATGTGTAGTTCCTCAGGCTTGAACACTTACAGTCCCCGTCAAAGTCACGAAGTGCTTCACTTGTCCTACATTTTCTGTCAAGAAAACTTACTGTAATGTTCTTTGCAGTGTCTCAGTATGGTTGGCATGATATGGTTGTGTGAAGTCAAGATCAAATATTTCATAATGCTTCATCTTCTCTCTACAGGTCATGGGTCATAGGTGCAATAGCTCTTCTCTGCCTGTTGGGATTGACCTGGGCCTTTGGACTCATGTACATTAATGAAAGCACAGTCATCATGGCCTATCTCTTCACCATTTTCAATTCTCTGCAGGGAATGTTTATCTTCATTTTCCATTGTGTCCTACAGAAGAAGGTAAGATAGAATTCTCTTTGCAAGAACAAATTCCATGCATTTCATGAAAGCGAAACAGCCAAAATACCTTCTATCATACCATTCTTGGTATCTTCAACAAGTAAATATAGTACTTTACTATTATTATTTTTTGTAACAGTGAAGGCAAAATGACATGAAACGGGAGTGTAACAGTTGGTGAGAATGTCTAACAGTAAAAATCCAAATAGAAATTGGGGGACGGTACACAGTTATTTTCTTGTACACTTGACCTCATGTTGTTAATATTTTCTTTGGGACATATTAGAATTAGAGGATTATGAAATAACTATTCTAAAATGTCATGAAGGTTTGACTATACATATGTGTGTGTATTTGCAGATTGTTGCTTTAAAAACTGGAAAATATAGCTTGTAGACACTTTGTGTAAAATAAATACTGTAATAATATGACAAATATAAATAATCTAGAAATATATTTAAATGAGTGGGCAGTATTTAAGTAAATTTATTGAGTTGTTAACTTTATTGAATTAATTAACTGGATTAGAATTCAATTTTAATCATTGCATGGGCCTGTTTTTGCAATATTTTACACTTATTAGTTCATGGACCATTCATTTTCAAAGCTAAATTTAGGGAGTAAATATATTTCTTTAATTTTTAAGCTCTAAAGTCAATTTTCACTCCCATCTTTGAAAACTCTATTAAGAATATTTCTAATCATGGCGATCCCCAAGACAGATTGCATGGGTTCAAATTTGAGTTTCTGCATTTGAAAAGCTTTGTGATTTGTGACAGGTTAATTAACCTCCCTAGGTCCTGGTTTCCTTGTGTATAAAAAGAGGTAATCATCATAATTATGAAATATTGAGAAAATTTTCTCTAAAATGAAATGATAAATGGAAAAATATATATACATATAAAAGAAACAAGGCCTACAATTTTGCTTTGGAAAAAAAAAGAAAATGAAGAGCAAAGTACCCTAGCTTCAACATTTTTGCTTGGAGAAGCTGGCACGTTTTAGAACAGAGGTTGAGAAGGGTGGCCCTTTCCTGCAAAGTGCAACAGTACAGCAAATTGTCACTCTGTTCTACTTCGACGTGGCCAAGCACATCTAAAAGAAGTTGGTATGGTCACAAATACAGTTTAGGACATTTAAGTCAAACAGAATGTGCAGGCTACAGGAAATAAATGATTGTATTAATGTGGATGGGCTCTAATCTAATGAATTGGAATTCAATTAGATAAGAGAATGAATATACATACTTCATTACATTCACCTCAACATTTATAAGCACTTACCTCCATATGCATTTATGCTTTACTCATTGTCAGATTCATGTAGGAGCCCCACCTGGAGACAGGTTGATAAAGGCGCAGTCAGCCTCAGCTTGTGATTCCAGGGTCAGTCGTCTTGAATGTTGACCTCCAACAGAATGTTTCAGGAAGAGAAAAGAGATCTTGTGGAATAGATCTGGAAACAGATTCGATCTTGTCTTCCCACTGTCCATACTAAACTGCAAGGGAAATCTGAGAATCAACCTAGATTTGGTACTCTAAAATAGTAGGAGCTGCCTTGGTCAGCATTGTGCCACCGTTGATGAGTTTACACTGTGGGAAGCGTGGGAGTGGTTAAGAAGAAGGATGAGTGGAAAGTGACTTCAAAGGAGAAGCATCATCATGCTGAGACACTGAAATAATGAGAGGAAGAACAGTCAACAAGTAGATAGTGTGTGGTCTCAGAGAAGCCAGAATGAATAAATACTTAAGAAGGAATACTTAACCTGAGTAGAACAAGCTGAAATTGAGTCTCAAGAAAAATATTTGCCAAAAAAAAGGAGCACAAAATCAGGAGATTAGGACAACATAGCATGTGTTTGTGAAAATACAGAAATCATCAGCTATAACATATTGAATTATGGCTAATTGGATTTACCTGTCATCTTTATTTTATGTACAAGTATTAGGTCAAAATTTGTGTCTTTTCTTCAGAGCACTAAAGAACTTTTGCAATTAATTTTAGTTGTATTTTTGTTAGGCAATATTTATTTGTTTATCGTTAATTTTTACTGTCTTTAAAAATAGATTTATTTATTTTACTTGCAAGCCAGAATTGTAGAACGTGAAAAGGAGAGATACAAAGAGAGAGAGAGATATTCCATCTACTGGTTGACTCCTCAAGTAGGTACAGAAGCCAGATCTGAGCCAATTCAGAGCTGAGAGCCAGGAACTTCTTCAGGGTTTCCATGTAGGTTCAGGGACCCAAGGAATTGGGCCATCTTCTGCTGCTTTTCCAGGGCAGTAGTAGGAAGTGGGATCAGAATTGGGCCTGTTGAGACTAGAATTAGTGCCTATATGAAATGCCGGCACCACAGGCAGAGGATTAGCCTGATATGCCATCGTGCTGGTCCAATAGTTTTTCTTAAATGAATGTATTATATATAAATGCAGGAAGATACCTAAGAATTAAATGCAATACACAGGTAGAAAGTATTTATGTCCGTATGCAAAAAAGTCAGGAATCTTCCCCATATCTAATGTAACTTTAGTATATATAGATATAAAGAAATAAAAGCAGATTCAGTAGAGCAGTTACAAATTACAGGCCAGGTTATTCCCTCTGCCTTTTATCTTTAGAACTAGACAGCTCAACATGTTAGTACACTTTTAATTTTTTTAAAAGATGTATTTGAATGGGGGAGAGGGAGAATCTGCATAGCTACTAGACTGTATCTTGGAAAATAATATAAAAACTAAAAAAAAAAAAAAGATTTGAAAGGGAGAATTTATGGAGAGAGGAAGTGAGGCATGGGGAGACCTCCCCTCACAGCCCAAACGTGGTAAGCCTGTCCGAAGCCAGGAGGCAGGCATTCTTTGTAGGTTTCCACATCTATATGTGCCCAAGAACATGCGCCATCTCTGGTGCCGCTCCAAGCCAATAGCTGGTGGCTGGATCAGGACCCAAACCATCACCCATACTGGATGCAAGGCCTGCAGAAAGTGATTTAGCCACCAGGCCGCCACACCAGCCCCTGTTTTTCTTTTCTACACTTAAATTTTAAAGTAACAGCATCTACAATATCCTTGGTTTTGCTTCTTATCTCACAAACCTGAAATACTGACTTTGTTTCCTTTCGTTAGAAACTTTGCTGTGCCCTGATTTGGAAAGTTACTTCCATGATTTATATATTATAATATGTAGTAACTGTCTTGTACTTTCTTGTATTCTGCTTGTTGAATTTTGGTGACTTTTTATGTGATTTCTAGAAGAGAACACAACCTAACAGGCGTTTCTCACCAATATGTCAAATGCTTGTGCTGAAACTGTAGGCATTGTCTTAGGAATTTTGGACATTGACTTAATCTCATCAGTAAGCCTCTGCTAGTGGGATTCTTGAGATTTTTGTTCTCATCCGGTTGTTTGTTGATTCTTCTACGTCTCTAACGAACATCGAACATCGTACTGTTTGTGCCTGTCCTTTTCTGAGGACGTGGTGATGTCATTAGTGCTATCCTGAGTTTGTTATGAGTGCATTTATTTAAAGCTCACATGATTTCTGTCTGATCTGAGACTGAGAGAGAAATAGTATGTTAGTAAAACTCCTCCCATTCCTCTGTTCCAGGTTCTAGATCATCACACGGAAACAGATCATTTTCTGGTTGGGGCAATTAAAACAGAATAACCTGGTAGCTTAGAAAACACAAATTATTGAACAACCAAATATTTTTGAGTGTGGGCACATGTGAGTTAGAGAAAAATATTTCATGAACACGGGCCATTTATTTTTCCTCTTTTTAAGATATGTGCTTACCATTTCAAATCCAATCACAGCAAATTCAAGTCAGAATGATTCAATAAGTAATACAGCTAATGTGGGACTTGGCTTCACCAGATCTCTGCAGTTGCTGGTTGTTTATATCATCAGTTCAGAACATAAAATACTTGTTGGAAAATGATGAAACGAGGTCTTATCTCCCCTCCTTTCCCAACCCACTCTCCTTCCTTCCTCTTCTTTTCTCTCTCATTCTCTGCTCAGGTTTTTCTTTAGTTCACTCCAATAGAAACTCTCTCTTGTCTACAACAAGGTGGATTGTGAGGGGACATTTGTGGTCAAAGTTTAGGATTTTGAAGGTGCCTCATGAATCCACTGCAGATTTCCAAATTCTTTTTTCCTTTTTTTTTTTTAAAGATTTATTTTATTTTTGTTAAAAAGGCGGATTTACAGAGAGGAGAGACAGAGAGGAAGATCTTCCGCCCGATGATTCACTCCCCAAGTGAGTGCAGCGGCTAATGCTATGCTGGTCCAAAGCCAGGAGCCTCTTCCGGGTCTCCCGCATGCGGGTGCAGGGTCCCAAAGCTTTGGGCCGTCCTCGACTGCCTTCCTGGGCCACAGGCAAGGAGCTGGAAGGGAAGCGGGGCTGCCAGGATTAGAATCGGCGCCCATATGAGATGCCGGGCGTGCAAGGCCAGGACCTTAACCACTGCACCACCGCGCCAGGCCCTCCAAATTCTAATATATACTGTTTCCCTTTGATTAGAGAGAAAGTTTAGCCTTCTTAGATTATTACCGAAGTTTTTCTTCTATGCTTTCTAGACAGGAGATGATCTAAGGTATCATTTTAATAATATTATTAAAATATAATAATGCCTCTCTTAGTGGCAATGATAGAGAATGTGACATTGTAGAAACAGATTTCTGGTCATAGAAAACCCATGAACTTGTTTCTTTCCACTGGAGATGTATGACTTCATCTTTTCAGTCTTTCAGTGAACTCTCAGTGCAGAACCACTTCATCTGTAATCATCTCCCAGAGTCATTTTGAGGGAGGCACGTAGCAAGCAACATTAACAATAGAAATGTCTCTATTCCACTTTCCCACGATACACACTAGTAAGTAACATGTACAAGCACTGCAGAATTCTTTTTCTTTAAATAAACAAAACATAGAGCGACTTGCAAATACTGCACCACCAATATGATTCTTTGTAGTTCTTGTTGAGTGTGGCATATGGGACAAAGTATGCCAGAGAGATCACTTGTGAGATGTAGGCCTTGCAGGCCAGGAAGGCATGGGTCTCTTGCTCACACTTGAGGTCTTCCTGCAGGAAAGGATGTCATGGGTCGCTTTTTGCTTGGACTTCACTTCATCAACCCTGTGCCTTTGTCTTTCTTTCCCTTGTTCCTTTCCTTCACCTTCAGCCTCTTCCGTAAGTCCAAACTCTCTATGGGAGATTCTCCCAGAAACCTTCTCCCTAAGAAGCCATCTTCTCTTCCTCAGCTGTCCGACATTCATTGCTCTCCCACGTTTCAGTTCACTGGACACCACCCCTTCCTTGGCTCCTGTTCCATAGGCAGCATTAGGTAGTGCGAGCTCTTCAAGCATATCCAGTTGTGGCATTGCTCTGTCTCTCAGCCACTGAACTTTACAATAATAAGATATGATGTCTCTTGGTGATCTTCTCTCAAGCAAGCCCCGAGCCACTAAGGGATGAGGTGGCAGTGTCCCTCTGCAGTAGGAACACTGGAGACAAACTGGTGGTGAAGCATGTCTGTTTATTGGAAAGAAGTCACAAGCTTATATAGGGTAGCAAAAAGGGGTAGGCAGAAGGTTGGTTCTGACAGTATTTCTACCCAACGACGACACTGGGACAAGCTGCTAGATACTTGTATCTCTCTGCTATGTCTCAGGGCAAACTCATTACCTGCTGTAAAGCGGGATGAATGTAATATTTGACTTCCTAGAGTCATTTACCAAGGAAGTCTTAACACAGTTCGTTCAAGAGGCAGATAAAAGAAACTGGGGTGCAGTCTGTCACTCTTGCTGCATGCCCAGTGAACAGGCTATTTTGGGGTCTCAGCCAAGACTCCAGTCAGGGCTTCTCCGGGGGGGAAGATGGTGTGCTGTGTGCCTACAGCCTCCCGCATGGGCTAGGCAGGCAGAGATCCAGGGGCAATCTCCCACAGATGTCTCCATTTGGAATACTAAGTTTATTGTATCACTCACTCTTGATTATAAACGGCATTGGATTATATTTTTGATTATAAACATTTCCTTAAAAAGCATGCATTTTATAACCCGAGTTTACAGGAAATGGCATTGAAATATTGCGTCATCCAAAATCATAAAAAAAAAAACCAACCTCAAGCAAAATTAAATTTATAAAGTGCTAGATACTTATTTTTCTATAACTGTAAATTTCATTCCTTGTAAGCAAAATCAGCTTTAAGAATTACAGTTTTAAAAGAAACATTTAACCCCAAGTATTTAGTCTTTAGTCTTCTTTTTATCCCTTTCTCTGTCTTCCTTCCTTTACCTTATCTCAAACTTTTCAATGGATTTCTATCTAACAAATAGGTACAATACTCTTGTATCTATGTGCTTTTTATATTGAATGTATTGAACTAAAAATGGTGCTTTGAGGAGTCTTACATATATGGTCTGTGAAATAAGAGTATAATGATGAGTTGATTGGAAAAACGTGTGTGTGTGTGTGTGTTTTAAAAGGTTCTAGTTGTGCAACATTTCTAGCTTCACAGAACAAATAGAATCACTTTATATTGTAAAATACATAAACAAACTTTCTTGTGTTGATAGCATAAGCATTCTGTTATTTAAAAATAAAGCACCTGTTTTGTACCCTAGTTTTTAACTGAGATGAATTTCCTGCTAATGGGAGTTAATATTTAATTGCCTAGGTACGAAAAGAGTATGGAAAATGCCTGCGAACGCACTGCTGTAGTGGCAAAAGTACAGAGAGTTCCATCGGCTCAGGGAAAACATCAGGTTCTCGAACTCCTGGACGCTACTCCACTGGCTCCCAGGTGAGCAATGTCGGTGTACTGACATTTCCCATTGCTTTCCTGTGTCTTTTAGGTGTGACTGGCCTCTCTGACTAGTCCGTTTTTCTAACCTAAATATCAGTGTGTCTCACGTGGAATCCATTCTGACAGATGTTGCAGAAACCAAAATAGTCATAAAATTAGGAAATTTAAGACAGAACTGTGTGCCGTGATTGGTGGTTTCAGATGATGGCACAAAGAATTCTATCAACTGCATGATGCTAAAACAAGTTAGTTAGCTAATAGCATTGTGGGCTCAGGCGTGAGTCTGCATTCAGACTAGCTGAGAATTTAAGGCTGTGTGATTTGGAAGGAAAAGTAGTCATGTTTCCGGTGTTTCAGTACAATTTTTCTGAGGATGACTTGAATTAAAATTGATAAAGTTATAAACCAAGAATTTATTGTTTAAACTACTTTGGCTCAACATATAAATTGAATTATTTGTTCATATTTTGGTAATTTTAAATGCAATAAGAATGATTGCATCATTTGTTCTTTGATGGATATTCGGTTGATTTAATAGATTAAATTTCCCTAAGCAGTTCTGTTCATATACTTTGCAAATTGAATTTCCTGTACACTTTAAATGTCATTTACAAATTTAATATATTCAGTTCTCCCAAACATACCAGCCATCAGACTGAACAGTCATACCAAACCCCCTTATCTAGCATGCTAACAGTGCTTACAGGTCAAAGATGGCAAGCTGTGTTTTGTTTATTTTTTTTAATGATTTAATTGAAAGAGTTACACAGAAGGGAGAAAAATCCAAAAGAGAATTCATCCATCCACTGGTTCACACCCCAGATGTCCGCAGTAGCTGGTGCTGGGTCAGCTTAAGCAGAAAGCCTGCAGCTGCATGTGGGTCTACCCTGTGGGCATAGGGCTAAGCACTCAGGGTGACTTCTGCTGCTTTCCTAGGGGAGTTAACAGGGAGCTGGATGGGAAGCTGAGACTCAAACAGGCCCCCATGTTGGATGCGACCAGAGCAGGCTGCAGTTTAAACTACAGACCCACCATGCCAGACTCAGCAACATCTTCATAAAAATTTTTCCTCAGCCTTAATGGGGTTATCTCTTACTGAATGCAACCCTTTAAATAATATCTATCTAACATTTATAATGAAAAAATTTAAAAGTAATACATAACTTTTGAAAATATCAGACTGGCATAAATAAGTGAACAAAACATAGAATTAATTCCTAAATCTAACCAATGCTGTTAATAATTACGAACTTATTACACCATATTTTACTGAGGCTTCAGAATTGCATATTAGGGGTTAGTAGCTGTGCCATCTTGGATGGTCAGCAGTGTCTGCATCTAGGACTACTACAGCTGTGAGTGAGAATCTGAGTGTTCTAATACCAACACATAAAAAGCAGTGTGATACTTGCAACAGAAATTCCTTCCTCGTGCCTTGCTAGCTTGGCATTACCTCTTCTGTTCTAGAATAACCTTTTCATAACTTTTAAATTGAAAATTCTGAGATAGGGACAGGATCCAGCCAGGCTAGATCCGACCTGTTTTTCACATTACTGAGCTCATCTGCTGTCAAACTGTAGCCATTTGTTGACAAGTGTCACCAGTGCAGTTTTATTTAGGAATTTCACTTATTCCCAGTCACCGAGGCACTGCATCGTTTAGCAGCACTATAAACTACAAGATCAGACACTGCATGTGATATTTTGCAGTGCATATGATTACAAGTTACAAGTGATGCCATTTAAGAAAACAAAGGGAGGTGTGCTGGGGGCAATACCTTGGCTTGTATTCTGGCCCTGCCATTTATCCTCTGCAGCACAGGATGACTGTTAATTTCTTTGATAGTCAATCTTTTTAGCTGTAAAAAAAATGGCAGTCATATTAATTTCTTAGATCCTGAGGAAAATTCCACTGAAATACGCAAAATACTTTGAAAAAATTACGGCTAATCAGTAAATTGTAGCTGCTATCATTTATTGCTCATTGAGCAAATATAATTTCGCATTTTTTAAAGCAATCATTTTTCTTCACAATTAAAGCTTGTGAATCTACAATTATCTTCAAAAAGGTTTATTTTACTCAGTATAATGCTATTTCTGATCAACCAAGATTTCAAACTCCACATAAAGTGATAGCCACTTAAATCCAGTTTTTATGTTTAGGTAACATTAATTTATGCCATATAATTTATGACTTTCTGTGAACAGAAGCTGCAATTTTCACTAGTATTAAGGCCGAAGATAGCCACATCTTTTCATATGAGAAAATTTCCAATGCATTCGTCTGTATGTATTTTATATTTTAATTTAGATATACCGCGTACCTTCTGTGTATGCCAGCAATATTCCAAGCCTGGGAATAAGATGGTTCAAAAGTAAATAGCTTCTCCTATTATCTCTAGACAGAAAATTTCTTCACTGTCAGACTGTGGAAGCCAGGAATCCAAACATGATGACAAAGAGCAGCCACATGGTTCCTAAGATTAAATGCCAGAGAAAGACTATCTTTGGAGTTGATGTTTATACCACGATCTGAATGCCAAGATTCTCAATGAGAGGAGGAAAAGTTCAGACAATGAGCAAATTTAGGATCTGAATGTCGTTGGCCAATGGGGGTGAGAGAGAACAGGAGAAGGGGTTAAAGAGAAGGCAGGAGACAGTGCACTGTGTAGACTCGGATATTCAGTGGGTAGGCACAAGCACGTTGCGGTCCAGACAGCTGGTGGATGCCTGAAACCACACAACTATGTCTGTTTCTTCCCTTTGGACATACTTAGCTCCTTTTGCATTTTAGCTGAATGTAAGATGCTGTAGCTACAACTATTATAGTTAGAGGCATAACAGCAAATGCGTGAGTTTCTTTGTCTCTCTTCACAATTTTGCATACTGTAAGATTTTTTCTTATGATACACCTAAGCAATCTTTTCCTAAAGTGTTTTTCTTTACTGATAGTCAACAACTTTAGCCTTCTCACTTAGAGAAAGCACTTTATGACTTTTTCAACATACCTTAACTGCTAGCATCAGTTTTCTTGCATTATTAAGTAAAATAAGGCTGACTGAAACACAAAATCTCCAATATCAGGACAGTTGGTCTGATAACCAAGATGGCCACTGGGTAGCTAACAGCTAGGTTACCTGTACCGCATGGAAATGCATGCAGAATGAAGATTTGTATCCCAGAGGGGATGGAACAGTAGGGCAAGGAGACTCATCACATTACTCAAAATGATGTGCAGTTTAAAACATAGAAATCACTTATTTCTGGAATGTCCCATCAAGTATATTTGTTCTGTGGTTTACTACTGGCAGCTGAAGCCTTGGAAGGGGAAATCCTGTGTACAGGAGGAAGTATTGTACGTGATATTATGGAAGATGGGACCCACTATGAAAGGAAATTGTAGGGAAAGAGGACTGAGCTTGTAATTGGATGGAGTGGACAGCATCTATTTCTCCCTATTGTGTTCTTGTAAGTTATCATTGGGAAGAAATTTTTAAACAACAACAAAAAAAATGTAGCTATGAGAGAGTTAGCCATACTGTTATCAAAAGGAAGAGCAAAGCTCTGCAAGCAAAGAAACAGCAAGGTCCAAACCTGCGGCCTAAACATGGCTAGTACCTGGAGGAGCAACCAGGGGACAGGCGAGTTGACAGGAAGTGAGAGAACGTGGGGGAGCACCCGTACACGTCACCCTGCAAGAATCATGACGCCATCGCTTCTCAGTGAAGGTGATGCTTCTTCAGGCTGCTGTTCTCACACATCGTGACAACATCTTTCCTACCTTAAAATAAAAATGAAAGTGCATGAGATGTATGTGTATGAGAAAAATAAAAGAACTCCTCAGATCAAATGTGAAAATATTGGGAATATCTCAGAAACTGCTCGACTCCTTTTGACCCTGACCCTCAAGGGTAACTGCTCTGCAAGCGTGATCTCCAGGGGATTGCCACTTGTAGTAATGAAATTATACAGTACAAATTCCCGTGTGTTTTCCTTCTGGGTTGTGTTGCTACAAAGTGCAATGTTGCTTTTGTATTTTCATTGCTGCCTATGATTTTTTTTTAAAAGATTTATTTATTTTTATTGCATAATCTGACATATAGAGAAGAGGAGAGTTAGAGAGGAAGATCTTCCGTTCAGTGATTCACTCCCCAAGTGACTGAAATGGCTGGAGTTGAGCCGATCCGAAGCCAGGAGCCAGGAGCTTCTTCCTGGTCTCACACGGGTGCAGGGACCCAAGGCTTTGGGCTGTCCTCGACTGCTTTCCCAGGCCACAAGCAGGGAGCTGGATGGGAAGCGGGGCTGCTAGGATTAGAACTGGTGCCCACATGGGATCCCTGTGCATACAAGGCGAGGACTTTAGCCACTAGGCTACTGTGCTGGGCCCTGCTGCATATGATTTTGTAATATATTCATTCATTGCCCCTGTATAACCATGTGGGTAGTTCGTAATATTCAGCTTTAAAACTTAATGGAGGGCCTGGCGCGGTGGCGCAAGTGGTTAAGGTCCTCGCCTTGCACGCCTGGGATCCCATATGGGCACCGGTTCTAATCCCAGCAGCCCCGCTTCCCTTCCAGCTCCCTGCCCGTGGCCCGGGAAAGCAGTTGAGGACGGCCCAAAGCTTTGGGAACCTGCATCCGCATGGGAGACCCGGAAGTGGCTCCTGGCTTCAGATCGGCATAGCATCGACCGTTGCGCTCACTTGGGGAGTGAATCATTGGACGGAAGATCTTCCTCTCTGTCTCTCCTCTCTGTATATCCGCCTTTCCAATAAAAAAATATAATAAAAAAAAATAAATCTTTAAAAAAAAAACCTTAATGGAAATTCAGGTAAACATTGTGATACTTTGGCATTCATCATGTAATAATGTGTCATTGGGCCAGGTGCATTGTCTCAAGTAATTAATCCTCCCCTTGCAAGTGCCAGGATCCCATATGGGTGTTGCTTCATGTGCCAGTGGCTCCACTTCCCATGCAGCTCTCTGCTTGTGGCTTAATAAAGCAGTGGAAGATGGCCCAAAGCCTTGGGACCCTGCACCTGCTTGCATGACTCAGAACAAAATCCCGGCTCCTGGCTTTGGATCAGCTCAGCTGTGGCAGTTTTGGCCATTTCAGAGTGAACCAATGGATGGAGAATTTTCCTCTCTGTCTCCTTTTCTCTGTAAATCTGCATTTCAAGTAAAATAAATCTTAAAAAAATAATAATAACGTGTCTCTTAGGAATCTTGCAGCTGCTTGAGGCAGCGATATTTTGTGTGGGCCTTTCACCTGTGTGTCTTATACATTAGGATTTGGGCATCAGTAGAGAGGATGACTAATATTTTTAAGTTAACGGATGGACTCATAAAGGTGAAAGATGTGTTCTCAGCCTTGTGCTTTGTTTATTGGTTTTGCTGTGTGTGTATTAGCTTTTGCTGGCCAGGTTGGCAAAAATGGGATTTATAACAACTCATTATTTGTTAATGATAAATATATTCCAAGATTCCTAAAAGCAATTGTCTAATCTTCTAAGGTTATCTATTCCTATTATCCAGGAAGTTTAAATATTTGAAACATTCCCAGCTGTCAGCATGGATTCAAGTCTGATTTCATGCAATTATTATTATTATTATTAAGATTTGTTTATTTTTTATTGGAAAGGCAGATTTACAGAGAGAAGGAGAAACAGAGCTTGAGATGCTCCTTCCGTTAAATCACTGCCCAAATGGCCAAAACAGCTGTAACTGTACCAATCGGAAGCCAGGAGCTTCTTCCCCGTCTTCTACGTTGGTGCAGGGTCACGAGGGCTTGGGCCATCCTCCACCTAGGCCACAGCCAAGGAGTTGTGGAGAAGCATGGCTTCTGGATGTGAAGAAGCCAGAACATGAACCGGTACCCATATGGAATCCTGACACTTGCAAGGGGAGAATTAGCTAATTGAACCACCACCCCTGCCCCGTGTAACTATTTCATATTTGGAAAAGCTTCTGAAAATATTTTATTACTCCTCATATTTAGAAGTACAGATTTTAAAAGATAGATAGTAGGGTAAAAACTTTGAATTATGTGCAAAACGTCTTGTTGTGAAACAATGGTTGGGGTTACTTAGTTATCCTACGCCTTTCAAAAGAGAAAAAATTGGGGCTGGTGTGTGATCTCTTACACTTATACATCATACAAAAGTTATAAAAAGAAAAAGTTCAGTATCATTTCGGTAGTATTTTGTGTTCTAAATAAATTGTTTTCATGATCCTAGATGACTTTACATTCCTAAACAAATTCCTCTTTTAATAAAACTGGAAATTTAGTACATATTGGGACAGTCCTACTAAAAGATACAATGAAAATAATGTTTCAGCTTGGAGGCTAAAATTATCCCATTCTATCCAGAGTATATATGTGTATTTCTTTAACATTTGTACACTTGATCTTAGCCAAAAGGCCCAGAAGCGATATATTTTTTTAACATTTGTTATAGCCTCTTCCTTATTTCCTTTTTCCAAGTTGCAACAGTCTCTGATACAGATCTACAGAATTAATGGGAAGCAGGTATCCGCATTGATTGGATTTCTGTTATTCTCGTGTTGTACTGCAAGCACATGCAAGTTCTTTGTTGCCCAATGCTACAGAGATTTTATAGAACATGTTGGAAAGAATGAGCGTGATTGGTGGATCAGTGTGAAAAATGCCTGTGGCGTCACTTCCTCTTTCTTTCTCGCCCACCCGCCCCCAGAGCCGAATCCGCAGAATGTGGAATGACACTGTCCGAAAACAGTCAGAGTCATCTTTTATCACCGGAGACATAAACAGTTCAGCGTCACTCAACAGAGGTAATTAAAAGAGATTTTTCATATTTATTACTTTTCTGATGGCTTTCGGAATTCCCTAAATGCTTTTCTTTTTTAATCCCCTGTGATCCATGTGACAGGTGTATGGCAAAGGAAAGAAACCTAGCTAAGTGAGGCAGTGCGTTCCATCATTCATAAGCCTTAAAAAAAAATCCTGGATTTTCAGGAAATGTAAAAGGAAGTTAGAAAATGAGAAAATTCTATTTCTAGTCATCTTCCACCCTATAAATGGGTGAGCTGTTAGGCCTCATTGGAAGCAGTGGAAATGGGCAATTATGTGGCTAAATAGTTGGCTAAGCTTGGTAGAGTTCTACATTATCCCAGGTAGAAACAATTTTGCAGTCTTTGTGGAAATAAAAACATACTGTCCAATACTTGAGGCAATGTATACTTGTCAGAATCGTATTTAATATTAGTCTCTAAAAGGCATGTACAGATAACACTAGCTATTTAAATATGTAGAAGAAACGAAAACTTTTTAACGTTTATTATGTTTTTGTGTGTGTGTTTCTGATTGAAGTGTTCCATGTGCTTCATTTGGGATTGAAATGAAGTTCTTTTATCTATTGGTTTGTTTGTAGTCAATTTTTTTATTCCATATTTTTTTGTGTGTCTGTGTGTCTGTGTGTGAATAAAATTGATTTATCCACAGTACAGGTGTCTAGCTACATCGTCTGTGACAAGCAACCGAGAAGCAGAATGTCCTGTGATTGGAAGATATATTTTATGTGAACCCGGTTATGTACATGGACAGTGTTCTGCATTTAGCTTCCTTGATTTATCCCCCAACTAGAGTTAAAAAGCAGTTTTTAACCAGTTCCTATCAGCTTTTGGTTGTTTTGCGGCCTAGAAACAAATTGTGCTGTAATTATTTTTTATGATTAAAAAAGATCAAATGCTGATGTTCCTAATTATTTTTACTCAAGTAAGTTGTATATTATTTATATAAACAAATTAGAAGAATGTGAACTGAATTTGATAGAGAGAGCCATGCCTTAATATAATCTTAATTGAATTTTGTGTTATTTAGATTGACAATGTAGTAACAGTAATTTAATAATGATTTTAAAATGACCAAAATCATTTCAGCTTCAGAAAGAGTACTGAGTAGAAATATTCTTCCAGATGTGAAGCAGGTATTTTAAGATAGATTTCTTTGAATTTTGCTTCATTATATTTAATTTGTTCTATTCAGTCATATTATCTCAAGTTTTATCTTAGTTTTAGTATTTGGTTGATAAAACTTTATTCCTCAATTAACACTCATTTTTTTTTTTTACTTTGCTTTCCAAAGTAGAATACTAATTACTTATGAATATCTACAAAACCCAGAAGCTGATTTTCATCCAGAGTGGTTAATTTCCTTTATTTTTACAATAATGTTTTATTTAATTTGCAGCATTTTTTTCTAGAAATAAGACTATACATATCGATGGGTTTTGTTGGAGCTATGTTGGATCTAATGATTACATCTGTCAGACAATAATTGTGTCAACCAGATGACATACGATTTTAATGATGCACTGTCTATTTACCTACTTTAAGAATGATTAAATACATAAAATCAGTTTTGTAAGGCATTTCATTTTAAATTTATGTGGATATTAAAGTATGTGACTTTAGGAAAAGCTGCTTTATATCGATAACTTTTTCTGACTTTTCCATAAGTCATACCGCAAATCATTATTTCTTTTCTTTCTAAAATTCCTTTTCCAAAATTTTATCAACAGATAAAATAATGGTATGTGGATGACTGGGTAAATTTAGAGTAAAACTTAAGGAAAAATAATATTTTATGTTTAGCAGTTACATGTTTAAATCTGCTTATTACTATCTCCCATGTTAAAAGATAATTCTGAAAGCTGCTGTTAAATAATAATGGTTACAAAATTTCCTGCGATGCTGATGCGAGAGAGAGGGTTAAGTTGAACAGGTAACGTGAAGGTTTGGCCTCGCGTGGCCTATTTCTTCCGAGTATAAACCTTCCTGTCACTTAGTGACGTGATGATGCTAGAATCACGGTGATCCTCTTCATTTCCTGCGTTAGTTTGTTAGCCCTCCTCCCAGTCAGACCCTCCTGATTTGATTCTCATCTCACGTTTTTTGGATGAGTGCAGTACTTTAACAGCTATTTCTTCGTGTTATAACTCCTGGGATAGCCTTTAACCTCCTTCTTTGATCTTGTTCCCCAGGGTCCTATCTTCCCTGCATTCAGGCGTGTGTATCATATTTAGGTAGGTGACATCCAAGATTCATCTTTCCAGATACACACTTCAGTCACCTCAGCAACATATCCACTTCCGTTTGTTCAAAAGCTTACCCGCCCTATAATGAAATACAGATTTGGATACTGCACCCTTACATCTTCATGTATCCTAACTTCCCATTCATTCTCAATTTGTTATACCCAAAAGTTTCAAAATTCAAACTCCATTTTTCAGTTTCTTAATTAGTTAGATATATTAAGTTTCTTATTTTTATCTTTTAAATAGTTTTGGCCCTTGAAAACTACAAGCTGTTACCTAAAAATTCATCCTATTTTGCTTAACTGTTGTTTTTTATTCATATCACAACCTGATTCATCAAGAGTATTTTTTAAAAAATTTGTATGTCTTATCATCTATTCTTCAAGCAATCATTATGAATTATAGGATGAATTAATAATAAAAAATTCCATCATGCAATGCAAAGCTACTGAAAATGTTTTTCTTTTTTAATCCAGCTCTAATTTTCTGTACTTGTGACAGATTATCTTTCTAATTTTCCTGATTTGATAAACTCGATCACTGTTGTCTTTCTTTGGATCATGTAAAATTCTGAAAGAATAATTGATAATTCTTAATGGGCAGATTAATGCTTACATATTCTGTTTGGTAATTTATTCTCTTTAAATCACATCATCTCTTTAAATCCTTCCACCACCTCTATACTTTAAATATCTCTATTTATGAAGGTATTTCCTAAAAGGTTACTTCCAAGTTTCAATTACATTTCCTCTATGTGCTAGTTTTTGGTAAAATGTTACAGACTCAGGCAAATCCAGAGTTCCAAGTTAACGGCATGGATGCCCCTGTCACACAGTTAGAAGGAGCTTCAGAGGAGGCAGGCATCACGGGAGGTTAACTGAGTCCAAGATGAAGCTGTTCACACTTAGGACTGCAAGATGGTTTATGCACTGATGTCCTTTTGTATTTACTCCTTGGTGATTCAGTTAGTGCTCATATCAAGTACCTCAAGGCCTTTGGAAGCTGATTTCAAATCTAGAGTGGTTGTAACTTCCTGTTAGTTACAGGAAGGACTCATAGCTACAGATCTTTTTGACCCAAATGCCCCATCTTTCTCTGCTAGTCAAACTCTTAAATAGTGTCTCTAAAACTTGAGTTCAATCCAAAAAATGAAGCATTTGATAAGAAATCCTTGTGCATTAAGATGGATTTTTATGTTTCCTCTCTTTCTGTAAACCCGTATGAATGTTATCTGAAATTAGATTTTATTTAGGTTTGAGTTAATGTGATAAAAAAAAGTTTTCATTAAGATCCAACCAACAAAACTATATGTAAGTTAAATGTAGACCTCTCATAGTCTTGATATGCACATATATAGCACTAATTTATAAATATCATTAGATTTTCTTTGCATGGTTCTGATTCATACTAATCTCCATAAGCATTCTTAGTAAAGCTATGTAAATCAAGAAAATCACGACAACCAATGACAATGCATTTATTTCCATAGATTTTGTAGCCTGATTTTTGGCTCTCCGCTGGTAACTTGACTGCCTGTTGAAAGGTGACATCACCTGTTAGAAGCGTTAGGATCCCAAGGGCAAAGATGCAGCAGATAGCTTTGCAAGTGGTTGACAGCCTCCTGTGATTATACCTGGCAGCTTAAGAGTGGACACCGAGTCTTACATCCGAGCGATTTTGACAAATGCCTTGACTTCTCAGGGTCTACACAAAGGATATTAGTAGCACCCATTTCAACAAGTCCTTGAGAGGAGCAAATTAAGTAACACGTATGAATTGCTTACCGTAGTACCTAGAACATAACAAGAAATATTTTTGTTATTATTGTCTTATGCAGAGGTTCACTTATATTTTCCAATAAATGAAAATGTGTCCTTGCCAGTACTCTTGAGCAATCAGATATCAATTAATTCATCCTTCAATAGCAGGAGTTTCCCGTCCTTCTTCTGTTTTCTAGAAATAGGTTGGAGGAATAGAGGAAGTTAACCTAAATGCCAAGTAAAACAAGTAGTAATTGACACTGCTCTTGAAGTTCAACAAAGAGAATAAGCTGATGACATTCATTTGTATCTTCAGTAATAGGAATGAAATTTATATTACATCTGCGTACTGCTTTTTTCCATTTTTGATTTGTACACAGTATTTTAGCATCAAAGAAATAAAAAGCATGGTGTGCTTTCTCCATTCCATAGACAATGAGATAAGCAGAGACTGTTTGCTCTTCTTCCCAAATGCCGACCTGCTCTCCAGAAGCTGGGAACACACTAGCTCAGTTCAGACCGTGCTGCCGAGGAAGCAGTTCTGTCCCTCAACCAGGACAGCGCTGGCTGCTTGGCAAACTCTTGCCTTCTCCGAGGCTCAATCGGACTTTGCAGGAGGATTGTCACTGAGGCAGAGGAAACGATAATTCACCTGCCACTTCACTCATGTTCAGGCTTCTAAACGTATGACGTTTTAAATAAAAGTGCTAATGGGAACGTCTCAGCGCCCGTTGACTGCCATTCCGATTTCTGTGAGTTAAAGTGACCAGGGAGAAATGCTGCAACCCGCTCACTGTGCTCTAGTAATGCTGACACTGTGACTTGAGTTGCATACAGAAGATGTGGTTGCTACCCCAAAGGCATGCTGATCTGAAATTTTTTTACAAGAAATGATTAGTTTGTAACTATTAGCTCATTTGTGATATAATCTGACAACTATTTGTGAAATTTGCCAGTTTAAAAAGTGCACTTTTAT